AAGCATATTTTGAAAGCACTCTTAGATTCAGTGCAATAGATGTTATATAAAATCATAAATAATATTCAACATTAAACTGGTACAAAATTAAAAAATTTTATTTAGGCCTATCTATGGCCTTCAAAAAGTTGACGACTCTACATGTTTTGACGTTGTAACGTCATCCTCAACGTCAAAACATGTAGAGTCGTCAACTTTTTGAAGGCCATAGATAAGCCTAAATAAAATGTTTTTAATTGTGTACCAGATTAACGTTGATTATTATTTATGATTTTATATAACATCTATTGCACTGAATCTAAGAGTGCTTTCAAAATATGTATGTAATTTTATTGGTAAACTACATTTACTGTTTACATTAGTAATTTACATCACTAGTAAAAATTAACATTCTAAATATACCTCATATGAAAATGGTTGAAAATTATAGGTATTGCCATCCTATTACTAAGAGTCAAGAAAACTTACATTGTTGTATCTTTCTTATATCAAACAATGGAAAATAAGTATGTTAATATTATTATCAACTACCAGAAACTGAATACTATATCTGTAGATCATATACAAAAAGGAGGTTGACTGTATTGCAACTAGTTTTGAATTAAATGGTGAAATTAAGTAAATTTGTTTAAAAAAAGAAAAAAAAACAACAACATTGAATAACTGTCAAATACTGTAAATTGTAAAATTAGTGAAAATTATTGATACTTTAAATATGTGAATCTTTGTGCATTGCTTTGCTACCAATACTTGCACATATTAAAAACAATATTTTTAGTTGCTTGTCTTAAAGAGAATATTATTTAAGGGTTTTAGATGGTGGTGTATTTAGGATCAGATACGTGTTACTCTAGTTAATGTTTGATAGGTTCCTACTTTAGAATAATGTGTTGTGCAGATACTGGTTTAAAAATACTTTTGCTTGTGTTAGTAATGTGTTAGTTCCAGTACTTGCACATATTAAAACCATTATTTTTAGTTGCTTGTCTTAAAGAGAATATTATTTAAGGATTGTGGATGGTGGTGTATCTTGGATCAGATATATGTTACTCTAGTTAATGTTTAAGTTCCTACTTGAAAATAATATGTTGTGCAGACACTGGTTTAAAAATACTTTTGCTTGTGTTAGTAATGAGAAGATTATAAGTTGACAGTTTTTACATGTTTATTGAAGGTGGAAGCTGTAATCAGGGAAAAAATGGAACAGACCATGAAGAACTACAATAAAACAGATTATGAAATTGTCAAAAAAACCTGGGATGATGTGCAGTCCAATGTAAGAGCCCATGTGATATTTATACGTAATAACCTTAAACTCTTGGTTAGATAAATTATAATAGGAACCTATTTCTTAATCATATGTTTGACAATATATGTTTCAAAAACAAATGAAAACGTTTTTACAAATTAACACTTAGTTTAAAAAGAAAAACTCTCTTCCCATTGTCTTACCTCGTATATATATAAAAAAAGTGATAAAGAATAAATCTTGAATTATCATTTTAAAAAAAAAGTTAGTAGATTTATTAAATTTTTTCAATTTGAAATTTACTTTTTAGCAAAAAACTGATATTTATTGTTCTTTTTATATAATTCATCAAAATATACTTGTAGTAAAGACTGAATCAAGTTAATTGTAAATAGCTTAGAAAATACTAGTTCAAAAACATTTTTAATCTATTAATGTTTGATATTGTTTAAGTACAAACAGAATGTAGTTTAGTTACAGTTAAAACCAAAACGTAGCATTTGTAGAATATCATAAAACATTTAATTTTGCAAGAAATGAGATGCTACTTTTTAGATCAACATTTCTGTTACAGTTGAAGTGTTGTGGGGCTAACAATGCAATTGAATGGATACATTACTTGGGTAATGACAACCTCCCATATAGTTGTTGTCAAGAAAAGGACCCCAAGAAAGAATGCAAGTTAACTGATGATCATTATGAAAATGTAAGTTAATTTACATTTTAGCCAGAGTCTGAAAAAGTATGTCAAACATAGTGAATTCTTTGTAGAATATGGTAAAATTGATGAAATGTTTGCAGCTGTGATTATCCTTTAAAGATCTTATCCAAAAAAAAGGTGCTCCTTACATTTCTTTGGAGTTGGAAAGTGTTTTAGAGCTTTACCCTTTTATATTTTTGTGTATTCCCTCATGAGTAATTTTAAACCCTAGATAGGGTACTTTTGGTCAGCAGTATTTACTTGTACCACTTTTAAGTTAGTCTTACAAACCTTATAACAAAAACTTGTTCAATGTTTTTGAGATGTTGTTCAAAGGTTGGTGAGGGCACAATGCCATCAATATATGGTTTAGAACATTTGGTCTTTTAAGAACCTTATCAGTAAGTCTATGAAAGGGGCACGTACATTTTTAAAACCAAAAGGCATTGTTTGAAATGATAAAGTCTGTTACCAGTTATAAATGCAGAAGCCTATCCTTGACCTTTACAGGTATTTGCCAATACCCACTAGATAAGTCTAGGATGCTAATGCATGTTGCTCCTGACGAGGCATTCAGAATACCACTTATAAGAGGAAATAAGTACCTATAAGATTTTTAGACCTTGTTTAACTTCGTGTAGACCACATAGAACTGGAAATCATTATTTTTTTTCTGAGAAACGAGAAGCCAAGAAGTGTCTACCCAACACAGAGAATTTCATAGTGGATAGATGATAATAATAATATGATTTACTAAATATTGGTCTTTCACTAATGGTTTCAATGTATATTTAGCAACATCTGTAAGCTAGAGTTTATAATTAGAATATCAGTATACTTCAGTAATGTCTTTCAATTCTTCACTTTCATTAACTCATTAACTGCGGATGACTGATATTTCCATCATTGAAGTTCTATGGCTCAGCTGCAAATGACAGAAATATCCGTCAGTCGTACATATATATAACTATAACTCTATGCGAATGACGATAATTACCGTTTTACTGTGATTGATGGCAACTCAGTTTTATCTGTGAGTCAGAAAATGGCAACTGAGCTGCTCCTGCAGCAGTTAATGGGTTAATGTTTAGTTCGAGCACTGTATTTCATTGATCATTGTTTCTTTGGAGTTACATTCTGCAGAAGGCTCATTTATTTTAATGACATTTGTCAGAAATTCAGTATTAACTTCTTTCTATTTCATAAAATCTATACAAATGAGACAAAGTATTGCCAGATCTTCTATAACAGCAATTTGAGTGGTCTATAGTAGTTTTTGCTACTTACAGCTTGCCATGAAATTTCCTAAAGGTTGATAATATTCATCTCATTGTCAAAACATATTTTTCCTTCTTTCCGTGTTAGAAAATAAAGGTTTAGGTTGTTTTTCTTAATATGTTGTTATACTTTTTTCATCTATAATAATCAGATACAGTACCTATTTGGTCCACTACTTCCACATCATTAAATTTGGCAATTCAGTTTTAGTTGTCATTACATAATTTAGAGAGGATTTTACTTAAAAGAAAATCAAAGCCTTCTTATTTGATAACTCTAATTTCACAACTGCTGTAAATTATGTGTGCATTCCATTTTTAATTATACATCTTTTGGAATAATTCCTAGATAAGTGGCCTGTTTGATGATATTTACAAAATTTTACAACTTTTCAATGGTTTTCACTTCCATTAACCATTTCTCTTTTGGCAACTTCTATTTCATTTCTATACTGATACTCACACTGCTTAGTGAATTTTTATCTATCTTGGTAGTTATCTTAGGTTTAGTAGAAAACCTAGGGGTGTACAGAAATTAATATTATATCTCTTTGCCCCCTTCCCTGGCTTACGATAATTTTAGTGGATAAATTAGTGGTTTCTCTGAGCTGTCAATTTTCCGTGGTTCAAGCGTGAGGGAAAGCCATGAAGAAGATTGAAAGAGTGGTTGCTTTCTTGATTATGAATTGAAGGGAAGTATATTGGAGCAGCAGATCCAGACAGCCGAGGCCCGCCCCTGAGGGCCAGTGCACCCTGTCTCAGAAGGGACACAAGATCAGAACTAAAGTTTATTGCATCACAAGTGACAATTACAGATAACAATTTTTACATACACTTATTTACATGGAACAGATTATGTTGTTTTTGGGTACAATGAATGGTAAATGACTTTGCATTTCAGAAATATTAAACATAGTACTAGAACAGAGAATGTGAACACAAGTTGAATGATTTTAACATTTCAGTCTGGTCAGTTGGCAACCTGAAAAAGAGGGGGGGGGGGCACAAGGTGGTTGTTGGAGTGAGTGTTGTTTGTTTTGTGAGATGATGTGATTTAGGGGAGAGATAAATTTTGTCCATGAAGCTGGTGTTTCTGCAGTATTGGCGAGTTTTGTGAATAGGTTATTTCTGTTTTTAGACTTATAATAGTATTTGCTTGCTAGAGTCGAGAAGCGTGTTTGTAATGTTGCTGATTTATTTATTTTGTGTAAGCATGAGCTGGGGTGTAGATGGAGAGACTGTTGGCTAATCGTATTGCTTTTAGCTGGGTGGATTCTAGTTTTTTGGAAAGATGTTGCAGTATGGTACATGTTACTAGGCATTTGTATTCCACAATGGGTCTAATATAGGCATTGTATATCATCATTATCATTTTTGTGTTGCAGCCTTTGGTGAAGCCACAAATATTTTTAAGATAATTTATCTGTTGTTGTGCCTTGATTGTTATTTCTGAGAAGTGCGTCTCCTAGGTTAGCTTTCTATTGAAGATTAAACTAATAAATGTTATTTGCTTTGTGTGTCATATAGTTTTAGTTTAACATTCCTAATTTTTTGGTTGTTTTGCTTATACCTGTGGTAGAAGATAATGGCTTGTTTTCTGTGGATTAAGTAGCACACGCCATGTGTTGCACCACGTGAATATGGTTTAGAGTTGCTTGTATTTTGTTTCCTGCAAGTAGGGGTTGCGTGACATGCTCCATACAGCAATGTTCTTGGCGTATTGTGAAGCTTTTGTTTCGGGAGTCTCTGGGAATTTTATGCTATTCACAAATAATATGTAGAGTAATGGGTTTAATACAGAGCCTTAGGGAACACCAGCTTTAAGGGGTAATGAAGGTGACATGTTGCTATTAATCTTGACTTTTGCGATTTTATTAGTTAGGAAGCTTGAGATCCATTTAATAATTAGGATAGGTATCTTGTTGTTACATAGTTTGTGTCTAAGGCCATTATGCCAAACAGAATCAAAAGCTTTCCTGACATCCAGGAAAACACTGATTGTTGCTTGGTTATGAGTAAACCCACTGTGTATTGAATCTATTAATTTGGCTAAATGGTCAATTGTTTGTCATTGTTTTCAGGACACGTTTTTAGTGTCAGAGAGGAGCTTATTGGAATCGAGATGGAAAATCAGCCTTGTTGTAATTATCTTTTCCATTAATTTGCCTGTACTGTTTAACAAGCTTATTGGTCTGTAGTTATTTGGATTACTAAGGTCATTACTTTTTTGGAGGATGATGCTAATGACTGCAGATTTCCATGTTGTTAGGAAATATCTTGGTTTGACGGATAAGTTCAACATTGCTGTGATGTGGGTGATGAGTGCATCGGAAGTGTTTTTAATATTATGTTTCTGATGCTGTCCTCACCGTGAATTTTTATTTTGACTGTGGTTAAAGGTTTTGTAATGTTGTTATCTAAGTGTGGTTTGTAAATGTTGCTTGCTGGAAAAGTGGGGGTGAATGTGACATTGTTACTCTGAATGTTATTATTCACCTTGGTATAATGATCGTTATTGGAAGTATTTTTGATGGGAGTGGTGAAGGCTGTGGAATAATATTCGTTGAAAACTTTGTCTCGTCTGTGGTGTTATTATCTTGACCTAGGAGCAGCGAGGTTGATCCTTCCATTGATTAGGGTCTTCAAGCCGTAGGGATCAACTCCCTGGAGGGTGAAGTAATATCCAGCAATGTGGCAGGTGTCATTTAGTAGGTCTCAAGACATAATGTCCTTCATGTTGAGACAGGTTAGAATGTCCACGATGAAGGCTGTGATGCATTTGGCGAGGCTCAGATGTTGGGTCGAAGATCTAGCAGTATCTGATAGGTCCTAAAGTGGCTGGGTCCTGGTTCCGGTTTGTTGGCTGGTGCTCAGGTGGTTGTTTTGGGTTCATAAACAGCTGGCAGTGGTCTGGCTGGGCTTCGATGAACAAGGCTCCATAGGTTGGCCCATTATTTGCTCTGGCTACCCTGAATACCTGTTAGTATTTGGGGCACCCATGGTAGGAGCCAGTGTGCGGTCCTCCTCAGTTGGCTAATGTGGCTTCATGTCACTGTCTTTGGCATTCAGCTATTGGATGTTGATCACTGCACTGAACACTCTTGACTCTGGATGTGCATATGGAATGGGTGTGGCCGAAATTCTGACAGTAAAAACATTGTAGAAGGGTTGGTTGTCTGGGTCTTACTGGCTCAACTGGGTGATGGATATATCACAGGTTGAAACCTTTCTTGATCAGATCAGTTACTTAATTTATGTCAGATAGGCTGATTTGTACTAGGTGGGTTTCTTGACTGGTCCTTGCAGATCTTATCCTTTAAGCTTCAGTGGCTGAAATGTCTTGAGATTTTAATTCTTGGAGTATTTCTTCTGTAAATATGTCCAGTGGGATGCTCCTAATTATGATGGTATGCGAGGCTTCTGGCTAGTGGTCCCTAGGAACGTGGATGTTTAGTATGGCATTCTGGAAGGTTGAGGAGTCCCATGGTTTAAGGAGCTTGGTGTATTCTGCAGGGGGGTTAGTCTTAATAATGACTTCTCCTTTGGCTAATCTTTGGACGTTCGTAAAGCAAATCTTTGGGAAGAGTCTTGGTTCGTGGGTGATTTCTGGATGTTTTAAATTGGCAGGAATTCCTTCCATAACAATCACTGGAGGAGGTCTAGGTTGCTGGCTGGCAGACATTGATGCTTGAGATTCTATGGGCTGCTTGATTGTTGGTGAGCTGGTTACTATTTTAATGGCATGGATCTCGTGGTGCTGGGCAAGTTGTTTGGAGATACTTGACTTGAACTGCTGGAGGACAGTTTGATGTAGCTCTGGATCATGGCGAGCTGTTTGGCATTAGACAAGGGCTAACTGGTCGATCTGGTATCTATTAGTGGCGAGGTAACTGGAGTTGGTGAGCCCTTGGTGGATTGGAGTTTTAGTCTGGTATGGAACTGGATGTTTTCTTGCTTCTCTACCCCATGGCATGGTGGGGAAGGAGATATTTGCTAAATTAGTGTGAGTTGAGTTATCAGTTTAAGAGCTAAGTTTGACACAATGTCCTCTCACTCCCTGCTTAGTGAATGCTAGTACCTTGTCATTATAAATGGCATAGTGCAATTCCAAGTACTCTCTTAATGGAACATTTAGTTATCAAACACTTTGCTAGATTTCCTTCAGTAGCATTAAGGTTCCACAACTTTGTAATTCTCAGTTGTTTCTGATAAATGTCTCTTTCACCCCTGTATTTGAAGTGTACTTCCTACCAAACTGTTTTTGAGCCAGATTGCTTGTATCCAACACATCTAGGTAGAAGTTAGTTAAGCTATCCTTAAATTATCCTATTTTTAAAATCCATTTCTGATGCTAGTAACTTCCACCTTGTAGTGGCCCTCCTCTCAAATATGAGATTGCAGTTTCCACCTAGTTACTCTCAGATATTTGAGAAAGGTAAAAATGTCTTTTTCAAGATATTAATTAAGTAACAGTGAGATCTTACTTACTATTGAATGTCTTGGCAGACAAAGGTAAATCCATGAAAAGAAAAACAACCATGATTGGGAAACATTTTCATGCATGGGGTTGAAGGGGAATGGTTGTTCCTGAACACCCCTGTTGGGAAGAGCAGGCAACTATCACGTTGTCTTCTCTTTCTTCAAACAAAATTCCTGCCACATTAAGTTGTTTTGTTTTTTAGGCAAGGTAGAGGGCTGAGTGAATTGGTACTGTTGAAGTTTAAGGTGGGATAGGCAACAAAGCTGGGTAATTAATTGACATATAATTTATTACATATTAGCATTGATTTTTATTTTTATAAAATTAATTACTTGAAATTATGATTAAATTGATTGTTATAAAAATAACTAACTGATATTAGTGTTTTTGATTATTCCAACTACCTAAGTCTCTTATGAGAATAATCAACTGATAGAATATAATCCACTAATTGTCCAGCTTTAATAGGGAAGGGACGAGTCAAGTTTCTTGTCACTAGTCTTTTACCCAGCATTCTAATATCTATCTGCACATATTTGGTCAAAACTGCAATGGTCTGCTTCAAGCTTAACACATCAGCTTCATTGATCTCCATCACGCCTCAATAACAATCTTACAGTAATGTTTAACTTTTTACTTTTATTTATCTTGTGCTAAAATAATTGCTTGAGAGAATCTAAGACTAACCAAACAAATAATCAAAGAACATCAACCTGCCCGTGAAGAGCTCCCTGTTTGGGCACCAATGTAGCATATCAAACAACCATGTTATTAATGAAATGTATCAGTCAACCACATTAGTTCCAGTCTTAAGATAAGTTATATCTTTATTAAACACAATAGAAGTTTTATAAAGTATCAGCAATCAATAATTACTAAATAGTGCTTGGCTATGACTTTGTAATTAAATGTCACAAGCACAAATATTCAAAGAAGCAATGCTGTTAACATAAAATCACACCAAATAATAACGAATTAGGAAAAAACAAAAACGGAAGAAGAAAACCTAACTCGTAAGATTGTACAAAAAGACAATATTAGACACTTTTCAGAATAGCCATAAAATCACAAATAATGATCAAGCAAGTATCTGCAGTAATCTTTTAATAATCCAATATATTTTGTGTTTCTATTGTAATTACTCATGATAGTCTTGCTTAACTTCTGATCATAGACTTTTTATTTATTTGCCAGAACATAAGATCATATATTACATGACTAACAACTTAGCATTTATTTTACTTAATTGCTAAGGAACTTCATGTCAGTTTCTTAACATAAACGTGATTTGTTTGATATACAATAAGAAGCAGGTGATCTAGCATTTTTATAGCAAATATAGCTAAACTAAACTATAGAAGGAAAAAATAAATAAATCGTAAGTAAAGCCGTAACTAAAAATAGAATAGAAATTACTACCTCACATGATATGGTAGAATGTACTAAATGTGATTTGCAGCTATGATTGAATGCTCATTTATTGTATGTGGTGGTGATATTTCTTTTAGTTTTGTTACTCTGTGGGACTTCCTTGTTATAATGATCAAAATGCATTGTTTCATTTTCATAAGTAATTCAGAAAGATTAAATCAAATTAATTTTTAGCAGCCAACTATGATCTAGCAGGAGTACCTTAGATTTGGTTCTGTAGCTTAAATTCTAAGTTCATTTTAATTTTTCCTGTTTTTACTCAGCATTTTGAACCATTTTGCATGTAATCCTGACACAGTTGAAATATATTTGAGAAACATTTCAAACTTTTCTTAAAATCAGGTTGGTTAGCCTTGACAGTCTTCACTCAGCTCATTAGACCTGTGTTAGTATTTTTTAATATACATACACACTTATCTCTAATAATAATTGATTTATGAAAAAGTTTGTAAAGGGATCTGATGGTCTATTTGATTGTTTACAAACACAGTCTTTGATAACCTACAGAAAAGGGTCTTCGTGTAGAAATGTACACACATGCCTTTATATGCTTTTATTTTGAAACAGAGTCTGAGGCTATTTAGCTTTTCAATTAATTTTTTCACTCATGTTGGCTTTTAGGTTTTCATACCACAATTCACTTCACCAAAATGTAAAGCAACAAAGTTTGCACAAAAGTTGAATATTTTGAAACCTTTGTTTTTTGGAATTAAATATTGCAAATGTGTGTTTTAATTATACTTTAACAAACAACTTTTCATTGTTTGAGCTAAGTAAAGTTTCATTTAGTGCCAGTCTATCTTTCGCCTAATGGGAGTGATGAGAGCTTACATTTCTTGAAACTAGTTCTCAGCTGTTGATGGCATTAGTTTTAGTTAACTTAGTACATTTCTATAGAACTTGAAAGAGTTTCTCTTACTCTCTTGTAGTGTAATAATTTTGTACAAGGTGTGGTAAAATCTATTTAAAAAGGATCTACTTTAACCTCATTTCCAGATGATATTTTTTTTACCATTCAGGTATTTGTTCCACACTATTGTAAGTCCAAGTCTCAGAAATGATACATACTGTATCACAGTATCATGTCTTTTGTGTATCAAATGTATTAACTTTCACCTCCATCACTCTTGTTGCATATCTGTCTTTCTTTTTCTATCAGTGGTTATGTTTGAGAAACAATATTTCATACTAGATATCTGTGGGGAAGAAAAAGATGTATTTAAATTAAGTAATAATTTTCATATATATTTTGTTAAACAAGACCGATGTCTGTAGGTATATATATTATATATATATACGTACTAGTACTACTATATACGTAGTACGTAAGTAGTAACGTAAGTAACGTAGTACGTACGTACTACGTA